TATGAAGGTGTGTTTTTCTTAATCAGTTCTGGAGATTTTTCAGTGCGTATCTAGGATTCTAGGGTTTTTTTTTTCCATGAAAATTTCTAGGGTTTTGACAACGCCTTTCCTTTCTTCTTTTCAGGCTCTGTTTCTTCTCAGCAACGTTGTTTTGAATGGTATTATTTGAAAATTTCTGATTTCAATTTAAAATTATTTAATGCCATTTCTTAGAGAATCATATTAAGGAATACCGATGGAAATTGTTGACCTCCTTGATTTAGTATATATTGTTATGGTGCACTGAAGAAACAAACAATTCCTTTCAGTTCTCAGTTTAGCGGTTTATGATTTACTAAACTTTTAGGATTTCGACTCTGTAGCTTTTTTATTTCTAAGTAACATAATTCATAATCAAATTATTTGAAAAATCATTTAGAAGATCATATCAGAGAAAAAAATAAAATCAGAACAGTTTAAAAATTAATAAATTTTTAGGGTTTTGACAACGCCTTTTCCTTTGTTCTTTTCAGGCTCTGTTTCTTCTCAGCGGCGTTGTTTTCAATGGTATTATTTCAAAATTTCTGATTTCAATTTAAAATTATTTAATGGCATTTCTTAGAGAATCATATTAAGGAATACCTATGGAAATTGTTGACCTCTTTGATGAGTATATATTGTTATGTGCACCGAAGAAATTTTTTTTTTTTTCCTTTCAGTTGTTTATTCAGCTGTTTGTGATTTACAAAATAATAAATTTTTAATTCAATTTTAGTTAAAATGAATCTAATTGACTAATTAAGATGAAAAACAAATGAAATCTCTATAATTAATTTTTCTGCTTCTATTTTGTTCTGTAATTTTTTCTTCTGATGTAACTTTTCAAGAAGCATGGATGCTAAAATAATAAATGGAACCCTGACTAATATTTTGAAATTTAAAGGACGGTTTTTGAACCAGATATAAATTATATGGTTTTATTTTCTGTGCAGTTTTTTTTTTTAAGAGAGTTAATCTTAAAAATTTATTTGAGATTGTTATTAGTTTTTTTTTTTCTGTTTGAGTAAATTGAGAAGGAAAGGAATTATAATGTAAAAGTTTTTAGTTTGTAGTGCATATTGGTAAATATTTATAAAAATTAATTATTTAATGCTTAGTTATTATATTTTTCATATGAATTATTTTATTTGTTATTATTTTACAGTCACTATAACTGATTATCCACTTCAAGCCGTGGAGCTATTGAGAGCAAATAAAGGAAATTACGACATAGTGCTCATTGATGTTAATTTGACATGCATGGATGGATTTGAGTTAGTAAAGAATGTGAGTCGCGAAATAAGTTTGCCTGTAATTGGTATGTTAAAGTTTTCTAAAAAAAATATTAAATTATTTTATTTATCAATTAATTTTTTTTAACATGGTTAAATTTTTATGCAGTGTTGTCAACTGATT